TGGTTCTGATCCGAACCGTTTGCAGAATTTCTCCCAGCTTGCAGATTGAGTCGATGGAGACGTTTGGAGCCAGACTTTCTCCTCTGATCTGGAAGCAGCCAGCACTGGGCCGACCTGCCGTCGCCGTGGCAACCCATCCCTCCCCCACCCGTCTCTTTTGAAGCACGGCCCCTCCCTCTGGCTCCTCTGTTTACATTTTTCGGTGGGAAGCCGTTCTCGGGGGCGGAGCTCCCGGACAAAGCCGCCTTTCAGGCCGTTGTTGTGGCTCCGTGGTGGGAATGTGGCGGCGGCGTTCCAGGACCAGGAAGTCCTCCCAGCTCTGCACTGGGAACGGGCTGAAGGTCCAGCAGGAAAACTGGGAAAACTCACAGAAACTTCTGGACAGTTTGTAGTTTAGCTTTTATCAGGAACCAGATATTTATTCTCAGGTTACTTTATTTTATGTTTAAGTATTTAAATTAGGGCTGCAGCACACAGTTATATCAGTAATCAATTATTTAGACGATTAATCAGGAAAATGTACTGAATTTTCATTTAACCACTTATGTATTACACAGAAAAAAATTAAATTCCTTTTTTATATGAGAAAATAAACATTGTGCTGACTAAAACAGCTTTCCTTTAACGAACACCTGATAGTTTATAGATTGATTCAGTTTAGTAATAACTAATAATTATTATTGTTTCCAGATTGTGGACCAGCCGCAGGCCTGTTCAACCATAAATGTTTTATTTTGTCTTCCTGCTCAGTAAACCGTTACAAACTGATCGATTACTGAATTAGTTCTGTAATTGATTAATCGATTCACCCCTGATTCTGATCGATATTTGATTATTTATTTTATTGTTTTTTTAGCGGCTGTGATAATGACTCCTGGTTGATGCTAACATGCTAACAGGTGCGACCCAGATGCTGCTGCTGGCACGGCGGACCGACCTGCGTCAGATCTCCCTGGACACGCCCGACTTCACCGACGTCATCCTGCAGGTGGGCGACATCCGGCACGCCATCGCCATCGACTACGACCCGGTGGACGGATACATCTACTGGACAGACGACGACGTGAAGGCCATCCGGCGCGCGCGCCTGGACGGCGGCGACGCCCAGTTCGTGGTCACCTCCCAGGTCAGCCACCCGGACGGCATCGCGGTGGACTGGATCGCCCGGAACCTGTACTGGACCGACACAGGGACGGACCGCATCGAGGTGACCCGACTGGACGGAACCATGAGGAAGATCCTGATCTCCGAGGACCTGGACGAGCCCAGAGCCATTGTCCTGGACCCGGTGGCTGGGTGAGTCCCGCCGTCGGCCCGCTGGACCCTCCGTGGGACGGCTCCGTGACGGTTCTGTTTGACCTGCAGGTACATGTACTGGACGGATTGGGGCGAGGTTCCGAAGATCGAGCGGGCCGACCTGGACGGGCTGGAGCGGCTGGTGATGGTGAACACGTCGCTGGGCTGGCCCAACGGCCTGGCGCTCGACTACGAGCAGCGGCAGATCTACTGGGGAGACGCCAAGACGGACAAGATCGAGGTCAGTTTGGTTCTGGTTCCGGTTGTGCTCTGCATCAGAACCAGCAGGTTGATCCGGCAGCAGATCTTTATTCTGTTCAGTGATTTATAAACTACTGGGTGTAGAACCGGGTGGTGTAGAACCGGGTGGTGTAGAACTAGACGGTGTAGAACCGGGTGGTGTAGAACCGGGTGGTGTAGAACTAGACGGTGTAGAACCAGGTGGTGTAGAACCGGGTGGTGTAGAACCGGGTGGTGTAGAACC